CATTTTCTTGTAATATAATTTTCACCAAACTTAAAATTCACATCAGTGATTTCCAATTCTGATTTGATATTACACTCAAATATTTCCAGTTATATCAAAAACCGCCTTAAAATTCCCCAAACAAAATTCATTTTAATTCACTTTAAACTTTAAAAAAAGAGGAGAAAAAAAGGAAGGAATGACTAGATGAGACATTCATAGGCAAAGCCTAGTATTTGGTAACCATATTTTTATTCTGCAGAACCCTACAGTTCAAAATGGTAAAGTATGAATAGTAAAGCAATATATTATTCCCTTTTCTTATGTGAAGCTTTAAAAGAATTCAGTAAATTCAACAATTAGGTCAAACATAATAAATACATTTTAAATTTTAAATACATAGAACTACATCAGAACTACTTATGAAAAAGACTTTTAAAAATACCTTAGCCAGTAATTTTAATGCTAGAATATAAATTTTAATCATTTTAACTAATGGCTGGAATAACCAGTTGTTACCAATAAGATACAGATAATTTTAGTTTTATAAGACCTGCAAAAAGTCAATTATTTTTTGACTACCAAAATACAGAAATAATTCTGTAGTATTAAGATGAATCCATTTGAAACCTCATTACAGTTCATTTATGGCTGGCTGCCTTCCCGCTTTGGAAAAATAATGGTACACTCACAGAATGCTAGAAGAATTTTTCCTTCACTGTGTTACTACATGAACAGATAGTAAAATTAATATCTATGATTAATAAAACATATATTTATCTTTAAAAAAAAATTTCTAAAGCAAGCATACTTGCAAATGGAGCATGTGGTGGACTTGGGAAATCCCTTGGTGGAAGATCATCTCCAGAAGTTCCCTTTTCCCACAAAGGTGACAGAGGCCCAGTGTCAGAAGGACCCCTGTGAGAATCGGTTAACGTATCAGAGCTCGATTCCCCTCCTTCGTTGGAAATCTGATGGTCCAGATGATTCCCTGGGCCTCTTGAGCCTCTTCCTCCTCTCCTTGGAAGCAAAGGTGAGAGTCTGAGTGGACCCTCCAATGAAGCTGAAGGAGACAGAATAGGTCTCATTTCAGATGAAGGCTGAGCCAGTGGTGAGGGGCCATATGGGGAATGCTCTCTGCCAAGTGGTATATTTGGAACATCCAATGCATATGGATCTTTTTCTAAAAGTTCACATTTAAACTATTTCAGTTAATTTTTGTCTGTTGTGAGCATTTTCTTTCCTTAAATCTTTGAGATGTCTTTCAGCAGTTCAAGCTGCGAACCAATTATCCCGTGCTTTGTTCTCATGGGAAATAGTGTGCCCTTGATAATAATGCATTGTTCTCTCCAATTCTTCTTCAAGATCTTTGGCTCACTTTCTGTAGGTCTCCAGCTTTGCAGTGGCATGGCTGATCCTTTTGTCTACTTTAGAAAGTTTCTCTTCTGTCTCTACCTGGTAATTTTCCTCTGTTGTTAATTTCCTGTAGAGTTTCATTTCATTTTCTTGATATAATTCAGTCATTACTTTAAGTTTCTTTTGAAGCTTCTGATTCTCACCTTAAAAATGTGTGTTTTCTGACTGCAAAGATACTTGTTCAGTCTCAAGATTTTTAATACACTCTGTAAGCTCTTCCTTCATTTTATCGACTTCAGATGACTGGATGTAAATTTGATTTATTTCTCCTTCTAAACTTTTTAAAGAAGCATTGAACTTAGCAGCATGAATCAGTTTCTTCAAAGCTCCTTTTGGAGGATGATCTAAGTAAGCACCATTTTCCAATTCACTGTTCATTTCTAACTCCAAGTTATCACCATCCGTTCTGTCTTCTCCAAGCGTAGCAGCCCAATCTTTCATCTTTAGCAGGCGTTCAGTCAGAGTCTTGATGTGATTGTCTTTATCACTGAGAACTTGTTCTGCGTGTACTTTGGAGTCTTCCAATGTTACTTTCTGTTTATTAAGTTCACTCACTTGTTCTTTCCATACTTCAGCTTCTTGCAAAAGTTGTTTCTGGCTTTCCTGAGGTTGAGAATTTTCATCCAAAGCATCTTTTATTGCTATCTTCAGTTGTTCTTCATTCATTTGAAATAAAGTCGTGAAGATCATTTTGGCTTCAGCTACTTGTGATTCGAGGGATTTCGACTCATCTTCTAGAGACTATATCCTTTTTGAAATATCTGCCATCAGTTCATTTTGTTCAGACTGTTTGGATTTCTCTTCTTTTAACTCTTTTACTAGACAGAGTATTTCATCCTCCTGTTCCGCATTGGACCTGTTCAGCTTTTCACGGGTTGCCTCCAAACTTTGTGCTTCTGTTGCTTCCGTCTCAAAGCTGGGATCCTGTAAAGATGACTCGACTTCATAGTCTTCATGCTCTTTTTCAATAACACTAAATTTTTCTAGTAGTTTACATTTTTTTCAATTAGTCTAGAATGCATTTCAGCAAGCTTTTTCTCTCTTCCCACATAAAGCCGATTCCTAACCGATCTAAAACCTCTCCACAAAAAAAAGGGAACAGCAAAAAATCCAAAAATAGCTGCCCCTATCACCTATTCCCATGGAAAACCATAAGAATTAGAATCTGCTCCCATACTTTGACGCAGTGCTGCCACAACCCTGCATAGCATCTCCAGTACCAGCCTCAAGTAAGGGTGAGGGGTAGCCCGGGCTCCTCCATAGTGCCAAGTCTGCTCTCGGGGTTGCCACAGTAACCCGGGCCTGTGGGGGCCACAACAAAGGGCAGCGATCATACAGCCTTCTGTCTGGAACTTGAATCCGCAGGTGGCAACTGGAGGGGACCATGGTAGAGCGGGCTGCAGGGGGAGCTGTGGGAGGCAGGGGGAGCTGGGGGATGGGTGTGGGAGCTGGGGGATGTTGGGGGAGCTGGGGGACGTGGGTACCCACAGGCCTCATAGATCCATGCCACCTTTTTCTTTTTACTTTATTTTTAGAGATGGCATCTTATGTTGGCCAGGCTGGCCCTGAACTCCTAGTCTCCAGCAATCCTCCCCTCTTGACCTCCCAAAGTGCTGGGATTACAGGCATGAGCCACAGTACCTGGCCTAAATTTTTTTTCTACTTCAGTACATCCAAAATATCCTGATGAAACTGAGAATACATATTTTCTTTGGCAGGTATCAAGTGTAACAAATTAAAATTTGTTCAGAAACGACTTTCTTAATAGTTACTGTATTTCATCAAATCCAAGATACTATTTATTAGAAAACCTGGTGTACTACCAAGAAAATATTTTCGGTTAAAGACACGATGTTTTTAGCCATAAAAATTTTTAAGACAGATCCCAATTCAGAGATATTAAAATATAAAAAATATTGCATCTTAGGCCAGGAGCAGCAGCTCATGCTTGTAATCCTTGCACTTTGGGAGCCAAGGTGTGCAGATTGCCTGAGCTCAGGAGTTCGAGACCACTCTGGGCAACATGGTGAAACCCCGCCTCTACCAAAATAAAAAAAGTTAGACAGGTGTGGGGGTGCACGCCTGTAGTCCCAGCTACCCAGAAGGCTGAGGTACAAGAATTGCTTGAACCCAGGAGGCAGAGGTTACAGTAAGCTGAGATTGTGCCACTGTGCTCCAGCCTGTTCCACAGAACAAAACTCCATCTCAAAAATAATAATAATAATAATAATAATAATAATAATAATAATAATGATGTTGCATCTTAGTCTGTGGTAAAGTGAAAGCCAGGGACAGTGGCTCATGCCTATAATTCCAGCACTTTGGGAGGCCAAGGCAGAAGGATCACTTAAAGCCTGGAGTTTGAGACCAGCCTGGGCAACATAGTGAGACTCCATCTCCATACACAATTTTTTTTTTTAAGTACCAGTCTCAGCAACATGGCAAACCCCATCTCTACCAAAAAATACAAAAATTAGCCAGGTCGGTGGTACACATCTGTAGTCCCAACTACTTGGGAGGCTCAGGCAGGAAGATCACATGAGCTCAGAAGGTCGAGGTTGCAGTGATCTGTTTGTGCCACTGCACTCCAGCCTGGGCAACAGAGCAAGACACTGTCTCAAAACAAAAAAAATTAGCTGGGTGTGGTGGTACACATCTGTAGTCTCAGCTACTTGAGAGGCTGAGGTAGGAGGATCACTTCAGCCCAGAAGTTTGAAACTACAGTGAGCTGTGATTGCACCACTGCATTCCAGCCTGGGTGATGCAACGAGACCATGTCTCTATTTAAAAAAAAAAAAAAAAAGAAAGTATGAAATGATTATAACCTTTTGAAAATAGGGGACCAGAGGAGACAACTGGAAAGTCAGCATGAGCAGTGGCAGCCTAGACTACAGGAGGCTGGGCCTTCCACCTCTGAGAGGCGGCCTAACATTCTATCTTTGATCTGCAGGAGCTCTCTGGCATATTGGGGAAGCCCACAGGGGCTGGCGGAAGGTGGCCTGCACTCCAGCGTCTGCCATTCACTGGCCAACACCCCTGGGGACTTTTCTTAACATCTGTGATCATGTTTCCTCATCTGTAAAGAAGGGACAGTTGCTCAACGAGCTGCTACAAAGCACTTCATGCAGTATCTAGCAATAGCGAACACTCAGAAAATGTTGGCCATGATTCTTCCATTTTAGTGTGCTTTGCTTTATGTAGTAAGTGTATTTATCAATGATTCATAGAAATATTTTTAAAGGAATCTTGTTCCAGCTTATATCCATTTAAAAGGTAATTTAAGAAAGAAATGTAATTCGAAGAATCCTTTTTGTAATGTAGGATTTCAAAAAATAAAAAAGAACCCTTTCTTCACCCCTCACTTAGTTTTGACACACAGTTGCACTTCAGTCAGCTCTGATCCAGTTACCCATATGGGAATATTTAGGATTGTCTGGTCATGCCTGGCTAATAAAATGTCAAGCCCTGATTTTACAAGCTAATATGTCAAATTCATCTTGTCCTGTTTACAGGTAGCCATCTGATTCACTTGTCCCCAAAGCACATGATGTTTGGCTGCACTTCAAGTTTAGACCCTAACAAAAATTCAATATGCTTGTGTTTAGGTGGAATGCAAGATTACAACTACATCTGGGCCCAGTGTTTTGAAATTACATTGGAGCTGTCATGCTGTAAATACCCTCGTGAGGAGAAGTTGCCATCCTTTTGGAATAATAACAAAGCCTCATTAATTGAATATATGAAACAGGTACACCTAGGTTTGTACAGTTTTCTTATTAATTCCCTGTTAATACAAAATACAGCATCTGGCAAGACCTCCGAGTTGAGTCAATGCAAGCCTTTATTTATGCTCTGTAGTTACAGCCTCATTTCAGTGCCAGATCTGACAGTTAAGAATTCTCTTCTGCGTGAATACCTGCAGTGTGTATGAAATGCAATGACCACTCATTCATAGAAAACAAAGCATGAGGCATCTTCGTTTAATATAAGGGTATAAAAATCCAGAGTACCAGTCAGACCTGGTGGCTCACACCTGTAATCCCAGCACTTTGGGAGGCCAAGGCAGGTGGATCACCTGAGGTCAGGAGCTCGAGACCAGCCTGGCCAACAAGGGAAAACCTTGTCTCTACTTGAAATACTAAAGATAGAAAAATTAGCTGGGCGTGGTTGCATGCACCTGTAGTCCCAGCTACTTAGGAGGCTGAGACAGGAGAATTACTTGAACCCGGGATACGGAGGTTGCAGTGAGCCAAGGTGGTGCCACCGCACTCCAGCCTGGGTGACAGAATGAGGCTCTGTCTCAAAAACAAACAAACCAAAATCCAGAGTCCCCCTAATTTTCATGTTAAATGTTCTAGAAATCTAGCGAAAGATCAGGAAAACAGGATGCTACTCTGTTACATGATTTCCCATTTAGAAAAACACGGTGTTTGCTTCTTACTCATCTCATCAGCCACACAGTACCAAGGACTCTTGAGAACACTGGACATACCACTTTGCATTTTTTCCAGAACTGGGGTGGCGAGCTAGCACCATTGCCTTCAATTTCTCTCACCTGTGAACTCTGCCAGATGTCCTGGTGCTAGGAATCTTGCCAGCCTGTTTGCTGAAGGCTGGCTGGCCCTTATCACAGATGGACATACTAAATGTGTCAAAGAATGGTAGCTCTAAAATGTGCAGCAATTCACCAGGAGGACTTCTAAAACAGATTGCCAGGCCCCAACCTAGAGTTTCTGATTGAATGGGCCCTGAATTATTACTATCTTCCCACGTGATGCTGATGCCACTGGTTCAGGGACTATACTTAGAAAGCCATTGCACTAGAGAAACACACTACTTGAGATGATGATGGAATCTTGTGCAGTTCAAGTTTATTAACCAGGTGGTGTCTGTTTGGGCAAGGTGTGGACGGCTCTTCTTTATTTACAGAGTTAAAGTTACCTGCTTCCATTCAGAATGGCTTGGGGAGAGAAACATGTCAGAAATTTGCATAATAGCTATAATATCACAGAGAGAGAAAGGCAGTGTTTGTGTGTTGAAAAGGGTTACTGCATGGGCCTACTGTATAATTGCATAATTCCTGGACTGTTCTGCATGATTCACACCAAAGCTTTCCTCCTGCTACGAAGAAGATGGAGAAGGATGAGGGAGGGTAGCACAGGGCCAGAGGGCTGAGTGCAATTAGTATCCTCCCTTGGCCACACAACCCTAAAAGGGATGCCTCTACCCTCTTTCATGCCTGTATTCCCAGCCTCCATTCCCTGACCTGAAGAGAAGCACACAAAGATTACTGGTAAACTCTCAGGGCTGTTTAACTGGCTGAGTCATTCATGGACTAGGTTGACTCCCCATGACAGGAGATGTTATGAAATCCGTTCTTTCTCACCAGCATCTCATCAGATTATAAACTTATTATTGGGACCTTCACCTTCCTTATTATGTCATCAACCTTTGTCTTGGGTTCTTTCTTGCTTAGTATTCTGGTATTTCTTTCTCTGTTAGATTTTCCTTATGAGGCATGTCATGTATTAATCTAACCTATTATATTTCTACCTATCTTGATCCTTTAGTTTCTTAATCTGACTATTACTATTATAATTGTCATTATCATTATTTTAGGGACAGGGTCTCACTCTGTCACTCAGGCTGGAGTACAGTGGCACAATCATTGCTCACTGTAACCTTGAACTCCTGGGCTCAAGTGATCTTTCTGCCTCAGCCTCCCAAGTAAGTAGGACTACAGGTGAACACCACCATGTCTAGCTAATTAAAAAAAGAAAAAAACTTTGTGTAGAGACAGAGTCTTGCTATGCTGTCCAGGTGAGTCTCAAACTCCTGGTCTCAAGCGATTCTTCTGCCTCAGCCTCCCAAAGTGCTGGGATCTCAGGTGTGAGCCACCATCACTGGCTCTGCCTATTCTTTTCTGAAATTCATTCTTCACCAGTATCAACATGGTCATGGACATGCATATGCTCTATGTAACTGCACCACTATTTTCAGAACCTCAATCTAGCTGTACAGATTATTCACCAAGAACTGAATGAAGGTGGGCTTTGAAGTATCATGTTGATATAATATTGCCAGGGAGGGGGCTTTGTAAGCCGATAACATACAAATTGCAGTATACCTGTAGTTATTATTTTTAACACTTTTGAAGGTTTACCAGTCCACCATTAGCACTAGGTTTGTTTGTTCATTTCTGAGATGGAGTCTGGCTCTGTCACAGAGGCCAGAGTGCAATGCTGCGATGATCTCGGCTCACTGCAACCTCCGTCTCCTGGGTTCATGTGATTCTCTCACCTCAGCCTCCCAAATAGCTGGGATTACAGGTACCCACCATCATCCCTGGCTAATTTTTATATTTTTGTACAGACTGGGTTTCACTATGTTGGCCAGGCTGCTCTTGAACTCCTAACCTCAGGTGATCCACCCGCCTCCGCCTCCCAAAGTGCTGGGATTACAGGCATTAGCCATGATGCCCAGCCCATTTGCACTAGGTTTTATAAATAATGTTTATCTGCCTGTCCCTGTAATCAGATGGAAACAACTCACTCAAAAAATATATATTGCCACATCAACCCTGTCCCCTTGTGGTTTAAGACAGATGCATAACACAGTTTAACAATAAAACCATATTTCCAAACACCAATACAGCATGGTTATTATTACATAATAGAAAAGTTCTGTCACTACTAGTGCCCAATAAGAAGCTAATGAATGTTTTTGTTTGTGAAAGATAAGAGCAAACACCCTTTTACTGGTATTGCTCTGGTTTAAGGATATTATTGATATTTGTCAAGCTGCATTGCATTCGCTGGTTCCATGTTACCAATTGCTAGGATGCTTCTGAGTTTCTGAGGTTTTGACCCATCTGGAACATTCTGACCCACGTTGTCTGGGAAGGAAAGGTCTTCTGCTATAGTGGAAGGGTATTGCCAAGAGGGCAGAGGCTTGGGTAAAGCAGTTGTATCATCTGGCGATGTTTGAAATAATGAGCAAGCACTTGTCTGAATCTCAGTTTAGTCAACAGAAAGCTGAGAGTAATAGCATCAGCCTTGCCTCCCACCAGCCTGTTCTAAGGCCTCAGTGGCGTTTTTCTTTCCATTAGAACTCGCTGCAGACCTCAAGTGAAACTCGGGCCCCTTGGTGCCATGTTGTCCTGCTTAGAGGATGATTTACTAGGTTTGAATTGAGATGAGGATGTCACAGACATTAAGGCCAAGGTAGCAAAGGAGGGCAAGTCTGAATTCTAGGGGCCTGGATTGTCTTGCTTGTCCCTGTCTCTGAGGAGAAGCAAAAATGAGCAAGACATGGTATTACCTGCTGCTGCCCTTTCTCTCCCCTGGATTCCTCAAAGCAGATCTGAACCCAGAGAGCCAGGGAATGGCTCACAGCATCCAGAAACCTAAACAACCTGGGCCTAAAAGAATCTGGTATGTGCCGAGTTCCAGAAGCCTGTGGGACACGGATGTGGATCTGTCACCACATCCAACATAGGAGGCAACTGTGACCATGCAGTGGGAACATGGGTACAAACAAGCAGTCTCCTAAGTACTGTCCCAGCTCCGACTCTCAGTCGTGGCCAACAGATGCAGAATTCCAGTTCTTGCCCAGCCAAGAAAGGCTTTGATTCATGAAGCTCTAATATGTATTCCAAGGGGAAAAGAGCTTTACATTTCTCCCATTTATCTCCCCATCTGGCCACAGAATTTTATTTCTTCTCATTTGTGTAGCATCTGAGCACTTTTTAAATTTTTATTTTGTGTTTGTTTTTATATATAGTTAGTAGTGTTGGCTCTCTCTGCATCTCTTGAGGTCTACCAGTCTTTTTTTCAGTGTTTCAACTTCAGCATATAGAAATAAATCACATTTTCTAGTAAAACAGTTACTTCCCTCTTAGGTGAAAGGTTTGGTGGCATGTAGACAAAACATTGTAAAGACATGTACAACTAAAGCATGCTTTCATTTGACTAGTGGGAGGAGTTTTTCTATGAATGCAAATTCCATACATAAGCATGGTCTGTGTTTGCCCAGTGACAGTGATATTCACATACCCCAGGCTTCCACAGCTGGAATAACTATCTTTAGGTTTAGGTAAGAGTCATACGAAAGTGAGTCTTTGGCTCTATAATCCCAGAACTTTGGGAGTCCAAAGTGGGCAGATCACTTGAGATCAGGAGTTTGAGAACAGCCTGGCCAACATGATAAAGCCTATCTCTACTAAAAATACAAAAATTAGCTGGGTGTAGTGGCGGGCACCTGTAATCCCAGTTACTTAGGGGGCTGAGGCAGGAAAATCACTTGTACCTGGGAGGTGAAAGTTGTGGTGAGCTGAGATCGTCATCATCATCCTCCATGTTAAAGGATGGTACAATGTCAGTTTCAATGATACTACTGCTTTGCTTTTTATGCACTTCATTTACTTTGATTTGGTGGGTTTTGGGGGAGTCAATGAAAAATACAGAAAATGCCAACGGACACACCACCCTCTAGCACACGCTACCTTGCTGAAATGCATGGATTTTCTAAGTGGCGGGAACACAGTCAGCTAGCTCAGAGCCCTGGAGAAGGAAATAATTTGCATAGCTTCTTCCCTCACATATTCCTGCTTTACGGAACAAAGGTGAATTGAGATTCCAGCAACTCATCTAATATGTGTTTTCCTCCCCACCCCACCCCCATAGTTTAACTTATCCAAATAAGAGGAAAGAAAGCTGGGCCCGGTGGTTCATACCTATAATCCTAGCACTTTGGGAGGCCAAAGTGGATCACGTGAGCTTAGGAGTTCAAGACTAGCCTGTGCAACAAAGTGAAACCCCACCTCCACAAAAAAAATACAAGCTTGGGCAACATGGCAAAACCCCATCTCTACAAAAATTAAATAAATAAATTAAAACAATGTCACTGAAACCCAAGGAATAAATCCATAATCTGGTTACCAAATTATGACCAATTTATGATTGGGTACTACCTAAAGATCAAAAGGATATATATTAAGCAGTAGGAACAAATATAATGGAAATGTTTTTTAAAAAAGAGAGGCCAGGCCGGACACAGTGGCTCACACCTGTAATGCCAGCAGTTTGGAAGGCCGAGGCGGGCAGATCGCCTGAGGTCCGGAGTTTGAGACCCACCTGACCAACAAGGAGAAACCCCATCTCTACTAAAAATACAAAATTAGCCTGGTGTGGTGACGCATGCCTGTAATCCTGGCTACTTGGAAGGCTAAGGCAGGAGAATCCCTTGAACCTGGGAGGCAGGGTTGTGGTGAGCCAAGATTGTGCCCTTGTACTCCGGCCTGGGTAACAAGTGCAAAACTGTCTCAAAACAAAACAAAACGGGCCAAAGAGAACCACATGACATGAAAATAGACGTTTACATAGTTGTATAGAGAAAGGGAGAAGGAAATGTGTCATTTTCCTCCTCTGGTAGCAAAAAATGAAGTCAGGAATTAAATAGGAAAGAGAGTATAATAAAAGGCAACCTAGGTCAGATAGAAGTTTGTTTAACAAGATAAACATTGTTTAGTTAAATGCCAAAATTTTTATTTTTCATTTTAACCATTTCTTAGGGAAGCTATTACATGTGCCTCATGTTTTTCTGCCCTAACAGATAATCATTGAGTATAACTGTTTGGGGATCGTTCAAGCTCATCTTATCATTGTAGACTCTTCATTCTCATTTATGTCACTGGGGGCTTAGGTGGCTTCACCTTAAGGTAATATGATTTGACCCTGGAGTAAACAAACTAGATGTGAAATGTGGGCTCTAAAATAAGAAAGGTCTTAAAAATTAATGGCCTTTTAAAAATTGTACTCCTGAAATTTTGAGAGGGGCTCTGGAGACTATCATGTATTGACAGTGAGGCTGGGCCACTTCATTGGCTGTGTGAGCTTGTGAAGGTAATTTTAATAAGCCAGAGTCTTAGTTTTTTTTCATCTGTAAAATCATAATAATTGATGGCACAGAGTTGATATGAGAATTGAATGAGAAAATACACATTTAGCAGTTAATACAGAACCTGGAATATATTAAGTGCTCAATAAATATTGGCTGCTATTACTGGTCAGTTGATTCCATGCTTCCAGCCTTGTGATTATAATTTTGCTTCTCATGTACTTTGACCACAAGACAAAACTATTGAGTCCCTTGCATAGGTAAATATCTTGTTGTAATGTAATACATTGACAGTGTTTTTATTTAGGATTTTATGGAATCCACCAATGATTGTAGTACAGTTTGGCAATTTAGTAAATAACTTGGAAGTGACAGGAGTGGATCTTAGGTTGTCACCTGTGTTCTCTCACTTTGATAGTATGTGCTAATATAAATAGACTATTCCATTAGTAATTTTGACTGTATTTTAAGTTACGTCAAAAATAAGTTTTCTTTCCCTCTCTAACAGTTAATATTAACTCAGAACATTGAGTTAGCTAATAAATATTGCACATATTGTTCTTAAATATTTACAAGAATTTTTATATGCCATAAAATACATTTAATTTTATTTTTGTCTTGCAGGTGTAAAGGGTCAAGTTTTTGATCAGAATGGAAACCCATTACCCCATGTAATTGTGGAAGTCCAAGACAGAAAACATATCTGCCCCTATAGAACCAACAAATATGGAGAGTATTATCTCCTTCTCTTGCCTGGGTCCTATATAATAAATGTATGTATGTAAGGCTAGTTATTGTTACTAAAATATTATAGAAATCATAATTCTTACCCAGAAGAAATTGAAAAATAAATCTAAGAAGTTCAAAAGTAGATCCATCAAGACAGAAAGAAAGGACAGTGTCAGACTTGCAATTGGCAGGGGATAGAAGGGATGGAAATTACAGAGAAAAAAAAATTCCTATTTTTTTCTGATGGCAATTATTTTTTTAAATAGAAGCCAAATCCTATTTCTTGTGATACCTTTTATGATTAAAATGTAACCTCATTTATAATTAGAATAAGCAATGTAGCAAAGGTAGTTTATACCTTCGTGGAATAACATATAACACTCATTCCATGGAATATACTTTCTACTATAAAAAATGAATTGGGAAATGTTCCTTAGAATTTATTTTATAATTGAAATCTGATCCATAAATTTTATCACTATATTCAGCAAATGATAGACTTATTTTGCAGCCCTTTTTTCAATTGATGCAAGTAAAATTTCAGTTTTTAATTCCATAAAATAGATATTTCTGAGTTATTTTATCCTAAGACAGGGAAGCATGGACTAATTTGAGCCTGAGTAGATTTATGTGAAAGAACTAAATGAATAAGTATTGATTTAGTTGGCCAGATTTTGCCTCTTTCTCTTTGATGTGACTTTCTCTGAGAAATTCAAGATTCTTCTACTTTGCTTAGTGGGTCTCATGCCAACCATAGCAGTCATTCTACGTAGAGCTAATCCTGGGAGAAGGTAGTCATCTCTTCTGTAGTGAAAACTGAATGGGTATTTTATTATTTCATCTTGAGGACATCATGAAAAACAAGGTTTTTAGTTGATAAAACTATAGAATTCAGAGCCTTCCTGCTCCATGGGTTCTCCCCAAGGTGCGTAGAAGTGGGGCCTATCAACTGCAAATCTTTTAGGAATATCCACTCCTACAGAGAAAATGGATAGAGCTTGGAAAATCTCAACTCACTGTGGTGAATTTTTCTCTAGAGGGCCCTTTATTTTCCTCCTATTTACTGTGATATTTCTATTTTAAAAAATGGCTTTCCTTACAGTGAATCTAATTACTTGAATGCAATCTCATAAATAAGCCACACCTTTAGAATAACGTTGTGAATTGTTCATTTCACATTAGTTAGACTAAAACAGTACACATTGACCATAGATATTATTTCCAGGATAAGATTTGAAGGTAAGACTCTGGACGTTGAAATGAATGCATAAAATACATACCAATGAGTGGCTATGTAAATGTCATTCTCCATCATATATAATAAAAGCATTTCTCAGTAGACATTGCCTGTAGTCAGTTTAGCATTTCTCTTATTTGACCTGATCATTTTCTCCACTAAAAGCAAAACAAAACAAAACAAAACAAAATCTAACTGAAGATTCAGGCTCATATGAACAAAACCAGGTAAAGGAGACTGGATGTGGTAGCTCACATCTGTAATCCCAGCACTTTGGGAGGCCAAAGCAGGTGAATCATTTGAGGTCAGGAGTTCAAGACCAGTGTGACCAATGTTGTGAAACCCTGTCTCTACTAAAAATACAAAAAATTACCTGGGCATGGTGATGCATGCCTATAATCCCAGCTACTTGGGAGGCTGAGGTAGGAGAATCGCTTGAACCTCGGAGGCGGAGGTTGCAGCGAGCTAAGGTTGTGCCACCATACTCCAGGGTGGGTGACAGAGCGAGACTCCATCAAGAAAGAAGAAAAGAAAGAAGAAAGGAAGAAAGGAAGAAAGGAAGGAAGGAAGGAAGGAAGGAAGAAAGAAAGAAAGAAAGAAAGAAAGAAAGAAAGAAAGAGAGAGAGAGAGAGAG